CCGTACGAAATCTAACAAGCAGTACAGCCGATCCAGTCCCTCTTGTCGCTGGCCCAACTTGATGGGCAACAGGGCATAAAGCCACCTCAGGGAGAAAGGTACCATGGAGCCAACCCGGTTTGGGTACACTTTCGGATAGGTTTCATAGTGGTAGCGAGAGCTGTCCAGGTCTTCTAAGGAATCGATCTCGGCAGAGGCTTCAGGGAAACTACGTAGTTTAGTCAAGGCAAGGACATTATAGGTGAAATAAACAAGGTGGTCATGGGGTTTGTTAAGGAGGGATTGGGCTCGGGCCCGGGCCACCTTGTCAAGGATGGAACGCCATGAGCCACGGGTGGCAAGGTCCTGGAGCGAAGCGAGCTCATGGGCCACATCGTTGAGGGAGCCAAACTGGTCCGTCAATGGATCAGTGAAGAGGTTTGGGGTTTCCACGTTGGTGGTTACAGTTTGGGGATCAGGTGTCTCCGCATCCATATTTTGAACTCGTAAGGTGTAAACAGATACGAGATTTGATTTCAGTGGTGGGAAGGGAGTGGTTTGTTGTCTTCCCCTGGAGATGGTATTCCCTGCAGTTACTGTTTCGACGTCAATACCAAGCCGTGGCTATCAAAATACAATTGAGGACAAGTACAGGCTCAAATCATAGGTAGACTTGAAATTAGAGTCCCTGTACGATTCATCCTGCACAACCAAGCACCAACCTTTCCTAAAGTGAAAAGATTCATCCGTAGCTGCTAAAACAGAGAGCTATAAAACAAAAATTAATCTAATTAATAAGAAAATAAAATAAAATCAAGTAAAAGGGTTGAATTTTGTAGAATAAAAAGGACTAATTGCAAAGCTCAGTCTGTATTCTGTACTAGTTATGGATAATTTCATCTGGGATTAGGGGTTTTTTATGTCTCTGCTTATCATATATAATTAGGGTTTTCCATAATTTTTAAAATAAAATAAAAATAAAAGTTTAAGGGCGATTTGTTTGAAGATTCGATTGATGATATTTGGTATTGCAAAATTACTCGCAGTGAATCCAATTATTCAAATTTAGGAATTACAAAGTTGAGAGGATCCCCAAATCAATTGAAATGGAAAACTCGGTCAGATCCGATGGCATAAATTTCAAACACGAACAAATAAACATCCAAATTAAATTGACATGAGCGAAGAGAGAAGAACTAACCAGAGCTTCAGCCTTCAGCCAATATGGGGAAGAAGAAGAAGAAGAGCGTTGGCGAGCTGACCTCAAGAAAAACCAACGCGTGCTATGCTGCTGGAGAGGACGACGTCGTGCGTTGTACTATTTATGTCGTTTTATCTTTTGTTTTTTTTTTTTTTTGGAAACTGGAAATATCATTAACCAAGGCCAAAGCCAAAGAGAGTACAGAAAGCTACATATGGCTAACAGCATTAGACATGAAAGTAGAGAATAAATGAAATAATCCACGTCACGGAGGAGCACACGTGTCACCCTTACACCTACTTAAACAAAAACTAGCTTGGAAAGCATGGCATCCTATCCTTGTTCAGAATACGGGCAAACAAAGATGAGGATCGTTGAACCCAGACTAAGTCCTTCCTCTCCGCACCAGCATGTGACGCTACATAATCTACCGCTTCATTGGCTGATCTTGGCACCCAAGACCAGACACACGAACTGAAGGCCTCGCCAACCCCACGAATATCACATAACACCAGAAAGACTTCCCAAGATTCATGGTCAATGCATCCATTTGGCCATGATAATGTCTCCTTGAAGTCAGATTCCACCACAATACTATGGAAGCCCCACTGTCTCGCCATCACACATCCCTCTAGAACACCTCTTACCTCCACAGCCAAAGCACTTGATGCACATATCCTTTTCCTATGCACCACCAAGCAGCAAAAGGTCGAATCCCGCATCACGACACCAATATGGTAGTACCTATCCACCCGTTTCCAACTAGCATCCACATTAACCTTAATCACACCTTGCCCAGAAGGAGACAAAAGGGTATTGATACGAACGCGTGGACTCAATGAAACCCGCCCATTACTAACCCTCGGGCAAGCTTCCAGGAAGGATGAAACAGCGAGGGAAATGGTGAGCACAGTTTGCAATGGGGAGAGTTGCCGTGAGTTAAAAACCGCATCACACCTTACCTTCCAAATAGACCAACAAGTAAACGTAACGTATGACATGGTTCTCCTCCTATCCTCTGCTAGTCTTGTGTGATCATTCTAAATACGTTGGAGCCATAAGTGGAATGTAGGCACCGAATCTTTATCAATTTGAAGCCCCAAAGCACCCCCAAACCAAACCTGGCCTACACAAGGGCATATAAGTAAAACATGTTTAATAGATTTCTCCCGCTCATAACAAAAAGGACAAATAGGGGAAGTGGCATACCTTTGTCGAAATAAATTCATCTTCGTAGCAGTAGTCCCCCAAAGAGTCCTCCACAAGAAGTTCTTAATTTTTGGAGGGATCGGAATATTCCATATACACTTCCGCACAATCAAATCAACTTCTGCTGAGAAGGAAAGGCGGAGACTCTGAGATCGGCGATTAATGCTATGGACCCAATGATACCCAGGTTTGACTGTGTATTGTCTCCTTCTATCAATCAGCCAAACCAGTCTATCCTTATGCCTAACCACACCGATCGGGCGTATTTAAGACCACATTTTTATCTCCTTCCACCATTTCCATTTCTATAGAATCCAATTGCCAATCCTGAGAGGAATGATCAATAATAAAGGAGACTCGGTGTGAGAGATCCACGTCGACCCCCGGAATCAGGGCAGGGTGCCCGGAAGCCAAGGATGAGATCCATCGATCAACCCAAAGCTGAGTATGCTCACCACTCATATTTTTCCAGTGAGCTCCATTAGCGATAATATCCCTGCCTGCGAAGCCTAAGAGGACCTACCCCTTTTTCGAGCCTCAAAGAGGGAGCAATTGGGAAAATATCGCTCTTGGATAACTTAGGCCCAAAGTGAATCGGGATTGTGAATAAGATGCCAACATTGCTTAGCCAATAATGCTAGATTAAATTCTTTTAGGTTCCTGAAGCCCATGCCCCCTCTTGTTTGGGTAATCCCAGAGATTCACGGCTTACCCAGTGGATCTTCCTTTCTCGCACCTTTTGCCCCCACCAAAAATTAGCAACAGCAGTGTCAATATCATTGTAGATATTGTCAGGAAAACAAAATATATTCATTGGGTAGGAAGGAATGGCTTGAGTGACCGCTTTGATTAAAACTTCCTTGCCGGCTTGGGAGAGAAAACTTTGACTACTAATAGATGGAGGTCTCAATCTAGATCTTCCTCCAATATTTGATCGTTGTTGTGAGGGTTGTGAAATTTGTGATGCAATTCCAAGTGGATGGGACCTTGGAAATGTTGAAGGCTACAACTTCAAGTTTTTCTTTGAGGATATGGAAGTCAAGTCCCATGGCTTGTTTCACTTGTTGCATAGTTATGAATTTATTGATTTGATTGGAGTTGGTAATTTCAATTCAAGTACTACAAGGAACTTTGAAAATACAACTAATCAAATGAAGATTTATTGGGAAGACGTCCAGATCAAGACCTTGGCAGTGGAGCATATTTTATGCAATTCAAAGTTTCCCATTCATTCAAAGTATCTATTTGTTTGGAGTGGAAGATGTCAATATTTTGTCTCCAAAGCGGATGGTGATTCAAATTTTAGGACGACTTCTCTCCGACCCGGTGAGAATGATGCAGGACATGAAATAAGATCATTGGAAGATTCAATACATTTGGCTTTTGAAATTTAGCCGATATACATAGAATACAAGGGTTCTGAAGTAATGAATTTTATGTAATAATTCAATCTTTATTTAATGTAATAAATATAGGGGTGTGATATCCGCACACCCTATTTTACTTCTCACACACCCTTCGAATTTTTGGCCGTCGGATCGGATGAATTAAAGAAGATCAACGGACAAAACTTAACAAGGGGTGTGTGAGAAGTAATTTGGGGTGTGTGGATAGCACATCCCTAAATATATGTTAGTGGGGTAGATTAAGTGGGGTTAATATTAATGAGTTCATTAACTCTAGTAATGATGCATGAACTATGATGCATGTATCAGTAATTATTAAGAAGGGGCTTAAGCATCTATAAATTCATGTATTTTTAAAGAAAAGGGGATAAGTTGTTTGAATTATCATATTGATATTTGAGTTGTAAACTCGTTTTTATGTGCCTTTCTCTTTGTAAGACTCTGTTGCTTTGTTCTTTCTAGTGTCTACGTTGTAAGCTGGTACTAGAACGAAAGTTTATAGGGTTTTTAGGCCTCTTCTCGCACTAGGAGATAGTGGACCCTATATATCCATTCTATCTATCATTTTAATTCATTTCTATCTGCTGCGCCCTGCATCATAAAGCAAGGGGTCCCTTTTGTTGTCCCATTTCTGTATACCTTCCAAAATACTCACCTCCCCTATCTGATCTTACCACTTTAATTTGTTTCCCTAACTTCTAGTTTATAAACTTTAAAACAATTGAGCACTTGAGATTTTTCAGAAATCAAATAAAGATAAGTGTACCTAGAAAAGTCATCAATGAAGAATACAAAGTAAGAGTTGCCACAAGTTGTCCTTGTTGGAAATGGACCTCAAACATCAGTGTGAATTATCTTTAACAGGTTATTACTTCTAGTTGAACTGATCTTTTTATTTGAAATGGTAGTTTTGCCCTTGAAACAATCAATACGAGTCTCAAAAGCATTGAAGTTTAAGGTTGGCAGCACACCTATTTTCATTAGTCTCATCATCCTCTCTTTGGAGATGTGTCCTAATCTTCTATGCCATAGCATAAGAACCATCATTAGTTATCAATTCTTAGGAGCATAAGTATCAACATTGAGACACTCATAAAAATAGGTGCATTGCACTTACCAAATATCTCAATTAAGTGATGCAAAACCAAGCAAATTATCATATTGATTCTTCAAATAAAAACGAATATAATTGTCATCACCAATGAATGAAAAACCATCTTGTACAAACTTAGTTGCAGAAAGTAAATTCCTTCTCATAGAAGGTACATAAAGCACATTGTTCAATACTAAAACATAACCAGAAAAAAGCTTTAACATGACTTGACCAACTGACTTAACAAGGACTTTGTTTCCATTTCCAACATAGATATTGTAATGCTCCTTACATTGGCCCTTTTGGTTTTTAAATCCTTGCGTTGAATTAGTTATATGCACACAACAACCAATGTCAAACCACCATGAGTGTTGAGGTATAAAAACCATATTTGACTATGTTGTAACAAAGAGATTTATGACTGCAATACCTTTCTTAATAAGCCAAGCTTTAAATCCAGCGCAATCCTTTCTCAAATGCTCAGTGGAACCACATAAATGACACTTTTTAAGATTGATTTTATTAAATCTAAGACCAGTGCTAGTGGAGGCAAGATCAGACTTGATAGGTATAACAGAATTGGAAGCATGTTTCTTGGAACCAAGGTAAGGAGAACCTGACTTAGTTGCAGCTTTGCCAATTTTGAGTGCTGCAGGTTTGCTTGGTCCAAAAACTTTCCCCTTTCCTTTCCCATATTGCACCAGATTCACAGTGTCATGCTTACTCTTCTTCATTCTCTCCTCTTCTTGGCAGCAAATGGAGATCAACTCATTGATATCCCATGTTTGTTTCTGAGTGTTATAGCTCACTTTGAGTTGTTCATATTCATTTGGCAGAGAATACAAAGCCAAATGAACAAGGAATTGATCTGCAATAGCTACATCCATTGCATTAAGCTTGTTAGACAGATTGACAAGTTTAAGCAAATGCTCTCGGACACTCCCATTACCATCAAATTTGGCATTGATCAAATCTGAAAGATATACCCCAGTTTCAGCCTTATTAGATCTCTTATACTTTTCTTCAATCTTGGCAATATATTGCTTTGCCAAGTCACAATTTTGAATGCCACATCTTATATGTTCCTCCATCAAATTTTGCATGACCAGCAAAGACATCTGATTAGCCCTTTCCCATTTGGCAAATGTTTCTTTCTCTGCAGCAGTGCTTGTCTCAGTTAAAGCAGTTGGCTGAGGTTGAGTGAATGCAATGCTAAATTCCAACATACCAAGATGCATTTCAATTTGCTGCTTCATGTCTTAAAATTAGTCCCATTCAACTTCAATGTTCATGAGATTGAGCATGTTGAAACCTACAACCAAAACATCATTTGATTCTGAGATTCACGATTTTGTGACAAAGAAAAGGAACTTATTATCCTTTGTTACCCAAAACTGTGGAACCAGTGACACTTTTGAGCAAGAAACTGTCCATATAATCATGAGTATGAATCTCAAATCTTGCATAGCCAATTATAAACACTAGAATATATATAAGTTCAATGCCTTTGGGCAAGAATGAATGTGTGTGTGTGTGTGTGTGTGTGTATTTCCAGTTTCATAACTTACCACACAATAACTTATAGCCAATCCCAGTAAATAGTTTCTTTGGAAAGTTTTCTACTTGTTAGAGCATATAAGTCACACATTGTTGTACATTATTGAATCTTACAGATTTGTGAGACCAATTAAACCACTTTGGTGGTCCTTACAAGTTATTCTGATGATCCACTTAACAATGAAGTATGTCTGCAATATAAGACGCTAAATTATATTGCATTGTCTTATGAACATAATGAACCATTCCATTTCTCCCTCATCTGATACGAACTTAGAATGTACCCTATGAGAAAAGATTTTTATAGAATGACAAGTTATAATTTCAGTGGTTGGGAAAAGTAGAATAAAATAAATACCAAGAGTTTTCAGAAAATTGATCATGCATACTTAGCAACCAATCCGTTAACACTTATTGTTGGTGAATCAGAATGAATTATATCATAACAGCAGCGGAAAACCAAAACATAGATAGTCATGTAGACAACTGAATGAGTCTAATGTCTAGATTGATTGGCTCTGATACCACATGTAGGCGTTTTGATACTTAAAGAATTTGATCAACCAGATCACTAGACTACATTTATATATTATGTCGTTGTCAACATGTAGTATCAGTATACAGATAAAGGAAGTAAGACTTACTTGCAGGATTAGCCATGAGGTCAGACAACCAACGCAAACTCTTTTGAACGGATTGTGAAGTTGCTATATAAAACCTTTGTAGTGATCTTCTCTTCTCTAGGACTCAGAATGGTTTCACTCTCGATAGGGCTAGTGCATATAAAATCTCATGTCCGAGAAGAGAGACCATACTACAGTTATATTGTTCGTGAGATCACAACTGCTCCTCCTATAGTGGTAGCAGTTGTGTCCGCAATTTTAAGAGTTTGTAACCAACTCTTATTCTATTATCTTTAATTCTAATAATTTCCCTCTTATGTATTTTATCATGATTAAAATACTTGTAAGTCCATTATTAATACAAGTCCAATTAGTCCTCATAACATATTTGATATCATGGTTTTATTCTAACTCACATTCCTTTGAAATCCTTAAAGTGTATTTATGTGTGTATTCATTTTGTTCAGAATGAAATGATCTTATTCCTTGCAGCCGCAGATTAATAACGAATATGTTATCCTGCACAAATAGCCATATCCTACGAGGTGGTATTTCTCTCCCGATGTTGGAAGAGGTCTCAAGCTCGAACCCCCTTTCCCTGTTGATAAAAGAAAACTTGTGAGTTTAGTACGCCATGATCGAATATATAAAGGAACATGACGTGTATATGTACTGACCTTAGGTCTCCACAGAACAGTAGTGTAAAAATATTCTTCCAAAGTGAAAATGGTGGGGTTTCGGAATGTGCCTGCCCATCAAATATATGGGTTGCTCCTCTTTGACGCTACCATTTTCTGAATTCCTTTTTAAATTCTCTAAATATGTAGCTACAAACTAGAGAATATATAATATGGCATCCCTAAAGGCTTAAGGCCTAAGCCTTTAGCTTTTGGCAGAGTCTATCCCTAATTCCCTAGCTATCTCCCTGGCCCCTCCAACCAAGTTACAAAAAATGAAGGGAATGAAATTACACACATGCTTTTTATTCATCTTATGCACTCATGCCCTTTCAAGCTCGGCTCTCCGGAGCTTCTTCGAGTTAGAACATGAAGATGTACAAGGACGGGAAATTCATGGTAAGAGATTTAACCCACTTATTATTTCAACTGAATGATCTTAGAATCACTGAATAATGGTGCAGTGAATATTCTGTAGTAGTGAGGCATGCTGGTGTTGGTGGCTCAGTCGAGCCGTATGGAGAAAAACATGAAACGGACGATTCAAGGAAGGCCCAAAGAGGGAAAGGGGGAGTTGGTTCAAATATTGCTCATCAGCGCCTAAAAAGTAGTGCAACACCAATGATTAGAAGGTCCCAGCAGCCCTTCCTCTTGACCAAAACCATGTTGCAAGTAACCTTTGCTTTGATTTTCATTCTTCCCTTTCAATTACTCTAAACATGTTTCGATTTGTCGGAAACAGATATGAAGCGTTGGATTGTTTTTGCTTTTGGTCAAGTTGCTTTGTTTATTGAGAATGTTTCTCCCATTCTATTTGTTTCAATTAATAAGGGTAAAGGGTTTAGGGCAAGTTTTTGTTGATATCTTTATTTTTGTTGGCAAGTTTGTTTGTAAGCTTGTACCATAACTGTTGATTTTCTTTCATCGTCTTTTATCTGTTTTCCTTGTTTTTGTTCTTTCTGTCTTCTCATGTTTCTGCAACAATTGCATTTGCATCCATATGCTTCTGGAAAACGAAGGAAAAGACCGATTTAACGTGCATGGTCAGTAAATCTAGTAAGGGAATAGAATAATCAATGAGGCAGAGAGAGGTTGCAATAAACTGCAAAGCAAGACACCATCAATGGAAAAATATTGTACGTGTTCACATCAAACACAAATAGTAAGTCCAGGCGGTAATACCAAAACCAATGTATTACGTGTTCATTTCCCTTCAGAATCAGATGATCAGACAATCATATTACTAGCAGTCACATAAACTAGTAAATGAATATGTTATTGTATGAGCGGTAATTCTCTTCCCGATGTTGGAACTTGGAAAAGACCTCAAGTTTGAACCCACGGGCCTTTCCTCGTTGATCAATTTAGTATGTCATTATTGGATATATAGAATATAGTGAAGATAACATGAATTTCATGGTGTTGGTCATATGCTAAGCTTAAAACACAACAGTAGTGTAAAAATATTCCTCCAAAGCAAGATTAATGGTAGGGTTTCGGAATGTGCCTGCCTATCCAAGATATGGATTGCTCGTCTCTGATGCTACCATTGGCTAAGTTCCTTTTTAGATTCTCTGAATATGTAGCAACAAACTAGAGGATATATACTATGGCATCCCTAAACGCTAAGGCATAAGCCTTTAGCTTTTGGCAGTCTAAAACAAAATGAAGGGAATGGGAATGAAATTACTTACATGCTTCTTATTCATCTTATGCACTTATGCCCTTTCAACCTTGGCTCACACGAGCGTCTTCGAGTTAGAACACGAACATGGCGTACAAGGACGAGCTATATTGATCTTTTGAACCCCGGACTAGTGTTGCACTGAACTTTTTGTGGTAGTGAGGCAAGCTGGTGTGGGATGATTCGAGGAAGAACCAAAGATGAAAAAGGGGAAATGACGGTGCAGATGTTGCTCATCGGCGCCCAACTGACAATAGTAGCGCAACACCGGTGCTAGCAATGTCCCAGCAGCCCTTTCTTGTTCTTGCCTTTCAATCACTTTGACATGTTCCGATCCATGAATATGCAGGTTTGGTGTGTTTTTGTTTGGCCAATAAGCTTTGCTTTGTTATTTGGGAATTTTTCTCACATTTTCCTTGGTGTTTACCTGTTAATCCAATTTGTTGTAATTATGCTTGTAAGTGGATGTGTGCTGATATCTGTTTTTTTGTTGGTAAGTTTTCAGAAATTGTTTGTCAGCTTGTACCAGCATTGTTTTGCTATGTATTCATTTAATCTCTCTCTGAAACAGGACTTCAACATTTTTGTACCTTCTGTAAACTAGGAAAAACAATTGAGCTCCTTAATCCTAAACCAAAGAACAATAAAGATATGCAACGATCAATACCATGAAACATGGTAAATGTATATGACTAGAGCAAGATCACACCAGTAAGCGAGAAAACAAAAACAGATCTTTAGGTTCTGCACATATGATTCCGAAATTTCGAGAACTTATACCACATTGTAGCTTCAGCAGAGACAATTATCCTTCACGCAACCAAAAAGATAAAACAAAATTAAACATTATGTAAATTTAGTATCAATAAGTAATACAATTGTTGTCAAAGTCCTTAGATGCGTACAACTTATGTTCTATATCAGGTCGAGCAAATAGTCAACCGACATAAGTATTCCCAATGGCATTAACCATGTATGAGCAAAAAAGCACTAGGAAAGAAACACGACCACTTTCGAAAATTTAGGCAAACCAGAAGATGACCGAGCTGGCAGTAACTCAAACCAGGTTAAACTTATCACGCACATCGTTTCCTTATATGTCATACAACAACTTCGAAAAGGATTTCAAGTGTTCGGTTTGCAGAGAAATGGCCAGCAATGAACTCCCATCATTGGTTTCCCTTGGTATTATAAACGCCAACCCCTCGAATGTAATTCCACCAGGTCCCATGAAAATGGGCCGACCCCATCCAAAGTCGGCATCATGGATTGGCAGCCTAACCCAACTAGTTATAGTTGAATATAAGAGTGCACGATTAACAAACGAACAAACTAATTATAAACTAATATAATTTTATTAAGTGAACGAATGATTGCCATGACGGCTACATAACCCAAGAGACCACATTGCGAATGACTTAATTAAAATAAACTAACAGGCAAGAAACTCTAATAACCTTGGCCCACAAGAAAGCCATAAACAATAATAAAATAATAACTAATTTCCCAACACCTCCGTCAAACTCATGGCGGTACACGTCATGAGCTTGCCAACAAGCAAATGTGGATGCAAACTCCGTTAGGCGGACATGACAAGGCAAGCTCCGTTAGGCGGACACGACAAGCGAGTCGGGTGCGGAGGAGGTTCTGATCAGGTGATAATCTGACTGTGCGTGCAGTAACGTCTGTGGTATAACGGTTGTGCAGTGGTCATCCGTGCAGCAGTGCAACAATGACGTGATGAGCAGCAGGCATGCAATCCTAGGTCAATCGAATTTGGGTGATGGTATGAATACAGATCAATGGGTCAGGTTCAGGGTTCCTGATTGCAGCGACAACATGGGTGGATGGTGATGAATTCGTTTGATCACGGTGCCAGTGATTAGATCGTTGGGAAGGGAATTGGAACAAGCATAGCAGTAGACAACAGCAGGGGCAGCGGCGGGCTGGTGGCTTAGTGCGACTCCGGCTCCAAACTTCAACATTTTTTTTTTAAAACAACAAAGGTTAACCCAAACCAAAAAGCAAAAGGGTTTCACGGAACGAAAATGGACAAAACAAACAACAACAACAAAGCCTTTTCCTACTAAGTAGGGTCGGTTATATGAATCTTAGAACGCTATTGTGCTCAGTTATGTGTCATATCTTCCATTAGATCCAAGTACTCTAAGTCTTTAAGAGTTTCTTCCAAAGTTTTCCAGGGTTTTCCTCTACCCTTTTGGCCCTGCACCTCTGTCCCGTAATCACATCTTCTAACTAGAATGTCAATAGGCCTTCTTTGCACATGTCTAAACCACAATAACCGATTTTCTCTCATCTTTCCTTCAATTTCGGCTACTCCTACTTTACCTTGGACATCCTCATTCCTAATCTTATCATTTCTCGTGTGCCCACACATCCAATGAAGCATCCTCATCTTCGCTACACCCATTTTATGTATGTGTTGATGCTTCACTGCCCAACATTCTGTACCATACAACATCGTCAACCTTATTGCCGTCCTATAAAATTTTTCCTTGAGCTTCAGTGGCATACGACAGTCACACAACACGCCGGATGCACTCTTCCACTTCATCCATCCAGCTTGTATTTTATGGTTAAGGTCTCCATCTAATTCTCCATTCTTTTGCAAGATAGATCCTAGGTAGCAAAAGCGGTCGCTCTTTGGTACTTCTTGATCTTCGATCCTCACCCCTAACTCATTTTGGCCTTCATTTGCACTGAACTTGCACTCCATATATTTTGTCTTTGATGGGCTTAGGCAAAGACCTTTAGATTCCAACACTTCTTTCCAAAGGTTAAGCTTCGCATTTACCCCTTCCTGAGTTTCATCTATCAACACTATATCGTCTACGAAAAGCATACACCAAGGAATA